CCTCTCAGAGAGTCCTTTACCTCACTGAGCTGTAGTTATCAGCCTCTCAGTCTGACAGGAGAGGACTCTCCCTCCACCTCTCAGAGAGTCCTTTACCTCACTGAGCTGTAGTTATCAGCCTCTCAGTCTGACTGGAGAGGACTCTCCCTCCACCTCTCAGAGAGTCCTTCACCTCACTGAGCTGTAGTTATCAGCCTCTCAGTCTGACAGGAGAGGACTCTCCCTCCACCTCTCAGAGAGTCCTTCACCTCACTGAGCTGTAGTTATCAGCCTCTCAGTCTGACAGGAGAGGACTCTCCCTCCACCTCTCAGAGAGTCCTTTACCTCACTGAGCTGTAGTTATCAGCCTCTCAGTCTGACTGGAGAGGACTCTCCCTCCACCTCTCAGAGAGTCCTTTACCTCACTGAGCTGTAGTTATCAGCCTCTCAGTCTGACAGGAGAGGACTCTCCCTCCACCTCTCAGAGAGTCCTTTACCTCACTGAGCTGTAGTTATCAGCCTCTCAGTCTGACTGGAGAGGACTCTCCCTCCACATTATTGTAGAAACATCTTCTTCTTATATCCGTTAGAGCAGCTAGCACCAGGTGCTATTAACAATAGCGCCGGTACCGGTGCACCCTCTCTCTCTCCCTCGCTCGCTCCCACGCTCACTCGCACTTTGGCTGTGAGCTGCGGGCGCCTGATAAGCCAACATCCCCCATTTTCATCACTTACAGCGCCCATCGTACAGGGCAAATGAAAAGTGTAACCGGGGGGAAAAGGGTGTTACATTTACTTAATTATGAATATTGTTACGTCAAGGCCCGAAAATGAGGATGAGCGCCAACGGTCAAAAATGTTTTTCTACCAGTGCAGCGCCTCCCCAGATCTGGCGCCCTAGGCGAACATCTATAACGCCAGTGCTACGGCCGGCCCTGACTGTAATGGTGTCTTTGCAGGTCTCACTAACACATCTATTAGAAAGCTGCTGCTCGAGTCCTCACTGACACTAAGGCCCAATTCCAACCCGCCCCTACACTCCACCCCTCTGCTTGCGCATTCATGGTAACTTCTTATTTTTTCAACTTAGGTTCATACCTGTGTTTAGTCTAGAAAAAGGTAAATGTGTGCATTTTATTATAAAGTTGTGTATATTTACTGATTGTTGCAAAAACTATGAAGCTTATAAATGTATGGTTTTAAAACTAAAAGAGGTTTACAAAAAAGAAACACAATTAAAGATATTTGGAGTTTTATTTGATTTGAAACCGTTGTTACCTAAAGTTACGGCATGTCCTGTGTCTGCCGGAGAGAGGGGAGTTTGTTGCCGCTGTTTTTACATCCTCCGCCTGAAAGAAGGGAGCCTCGTTCAGCTCCGAGTGTCACTCCCTCACGAAGTGGAGTGGGATGGGTGTGGTTTGGAATTAGGCCTAAGACACATCAGTCCAGTTCTGAAGTGTTTACACTAGCGTCCTGTCTGTCAGAGACTTCAAAATACTGCTGTTTCATAAAGCACTGAATGGTTTAGGCCCAAAACACATTTCTGACCTCCTGCTAAATGATGAACCATCCAGATCTCTCAGGTCTTCTGGTCTGCTTTCTGTCCCCAGAGTCAGATCTCTCAGGTCTTCTGGTCTGCTCTCTGTCCCCAGAGTCAGATCTCTCAGGTCTTCTGGTCTGCTCTCTGTCCCCAGAGTCAGATCTCTCAGGTCTTCTGGTCTGCTCTCTGTCCCCAGAGTCAGATCTCTCAGGTCTTCTGGTCAGCTCTCTGTCCCCAGAGTCAGAACTAAACATGGAGAAGTTCAGTTATTATGCTCCAAACATCTGGAACAAACTCCCAGAAACCTGCAGGTCTGCTGCAACTCTGACTACTTTTAAATCCAGCTGAAGACTTTTCTTTTTGGCCGATGCTTTTAATGGAACTTTTCACATGTTGTGTTATTCATGTTTTATTGTCTTTGCTTTTTAATGACTGCTTTTAAATGCCATTTTATAATATGTTTCTGCTGCACTATTTCTTAATGCTCTTAATGTCTCTCATTTTTGTAAAGCACTTTGAATTGCCTTGTGTTGAAAGGTTCTGTATAAATAAACTTGCTAAGGATGAGATGAGGTCTTGTTTCACAGCCTGCAGCAGGAGTCTGTTCCCAGAGCATCGGACTGTTCCGCACAGCTAGAGCACCTCATGATCTCATGTCGGGCCTTCGGGCCTTCCATCTGCCGAGGGAATTCACATCTGTTGTGATAACAGCAGTGTATATCCCGCCGCAGCCACTCGCCGACAACAACACGGCACTCGATCAGCTGTTTGGGTTTATTGATAAAACCGAGACTTCACGGCCAGATGCGGCGTTCGTTGTGGCCGGAGATTTCAACACCGCCAACATGAAGAAGGTTTTGCCAAAATATTACCAACACATCAACTTCCCGACGCGCGGGGGAAACATACTGGACCATGTTTATTCCCCTTTCCGGAATGGATATAAGGCTCTCCCTCGCCCTCCCTTCGGCAAATCAGACCATATCTCACTACTGTTGTTGCCTGCTTACAAGCAGAAACTTAAAAGGGACAGACCGATAACAAGGACAGTACAACGATGGAGCGAGGAGTCAGATTCAGCACTGCAGGATTGCTTTGCATCTACGGATTGGAGTGTGTTTGAGGACAATAACATCAACACACACACGGACACTGTCATCTGCTACATTGGGAAATGCATCGATGACGTGGTACCGAAGGTTTCTGTACGGACATTCCCAAATCAAAAGCCCTGGGTAAACGGTGAGGTGCGCGGCAAACTGAAAGCGCGCACTCTCGCGCACACAGCGGGAGATTTGGAGGAGTACAGGAAGTCTAGGTATGATCTCCGGAGAGCAATAAAAAATGCAAAGAGACAGTACAAAGACAAGGTGGAATCTGACTTCAAAGGCTGTAACACTAGGAATATGTGGGCGGGACTAAGGACAATGACTGACTACAAAGGAGCAGCGGGGGGTGCTGCGGGAGTGTCTGCGTGCGCATCTCTCCCAGATGAGCTAAACAGTTTTTTTGCACGCTTTGAGAGCAGCCAGGCTGTGGAGGTACAGAGGGACCAGGAACTACACTGCCCTTTTGTTTTAAATAGGGCAGATGTGTGTAAATCCTTTAAAAGGGTTAACCCACACAAGGCTCCTGGACCTGATGGCATCCCTGGCCGTGTTCTCAGGGTGTGTGCAGTTCAGCTGGCAGAGGTGTTCACAGACATCTTCAACAGGTCCCTGCTGCAGTCTGTAGTCCCCACATGTCTTAAACACTCCACCATCATTCCTGTCCCCAAAAAGACAATCATCACCTGCCCCAACGACTACCGCCCAGTAGCACTCACCTCCATCATAATGAAGTGCTTTGAGCGGTTAGTCAAATTATTCATCACCTCCTCCCTCCCTGAATCTCTGGACCCCCTGCAGTTTGCCTACAGAGCAAACAGGTCCACAGACGACGCCATAGCCCTCACCCTCCACACTGCCCTCTCACACCTGGACCCGAAGAACAGGAACACATATGTGAGAATGCTGTTCATTGACTACAGTTCAGCATTCAACACCATTGTGCCCTCCAAGCTGGCCATCAAGCTCAGAGACCTCGGGCTCAACAGCGCCCTCTGCGACTGGATCCTGAACTTCCTGACGGGCAGACCCCAGGCAGTGCGGGTGGGAAACATCACATCCTCCACCCTGATTCTTAACACCGGTGCCCCTCAAGGCTGCGTGCTCAGCCCTCTCCTCTACTCCCTGTTCACCCACGACTGCGTGGCCACACACAGCTCCAACACCATCGTGAAGTTTGCTGATGACACGACCGTCATCGGCCAGATCACAGACGATGACGAGACGGCGTACAGAGAGGAGGTCGAAAACCTGACATCTTGGTGCCAGGAGAACAACCTCCATCTCAACATCAGCAAAACAAAGGAGCTGATTGTGGACTACAGGAAGCAGCAGGGAGAGGGACACGCCCCCATCGCCATCAATGGGACTACGGTGGAGAGAGTCAAAAGCTTCAGGTTCCTTGGGGTCCACATCACTGAGGACCTGACATGGTCTCTTCACACCACCACCATCACCAAGAAAGCTCGACAGCGGCTCTTCTTCCTCCGCAGGCTGAGGAGGTTCAAAATGGATTCCAGGATACTCTGCAACTTCTACAGGTGCACCATAGAGAGTATCCTCACTGGCAGCATGACGGCCTGGTACGGCAGCTGCACCGACCTCGATCGTAAGGCTTTACAGAGGGTGGTGAAAACTGCACAGCACATCACCAGGACGGAGCTGCCATCCATGGAGGACCTTTACTCCCAGCGGCTCAGGAAGAAATCACTACGGATTATCAAAGACCCCCATCACCCCAGCCACAAACTGTTCTTTCTGTTGCCGTCTGGCAGACGTTACCGCAGCATCCGGGCAAGGACAAGAAGATTCGGAGACAGTTTCTTCCCGCGGGCAGTGAGACTGTTAAACAATTGAACTGTTGAAACAACATCAAACATTCAACTGCTACTCAGTAGTATGTATCTAATACCTAATATATATATATCATTCCAATAACTTGTATATAGACTCATACTGCACTATTCCACATCATAACTTTATTTCATTTTTATAACTATTATTATTTTTGTATTGCTCTTGCTCTTATTGTTATTATGTTATGTTATTATGTTGCATTGTTGGAGAAGCCTGTGACATAAGATTTTCAACTGCATAATTACTCTGTAGCTATGTCAGATTGACAATAAAGAACCTTGAACCTTGAGAGCAGCTTCCTACACAGAGGGGGGAACATGATGTGTGTTCAGTTCCTAATTCACCCACTAGGTGGCAGGGGAGATCCTGAGATGATGTGATGAAAGTTTGGTGAAAACACAATCTGAAGAAGAGTTGAGAAAAGTAAATAATTCTTTACATGACTGCGTGTGTGTGTGTTACGTTTTTTTTACATTCTGTATTTTTTATGTTTTTCTTTTACTCTGAAATCAGTTCTTCTTCCATCACTGAGCATGCGCAGTGTGTGCAGAAGTTGTTGTGAAGTGGGACGCGACAGGAATACCCGGGTGGGGGGTGTTCCTGAACCTCGACCCCGCAGTGACGTCACACCTGTCCGCGCGCTGCCTGCCTCACACACAGGCTGATCTCAGCTCTGTGACCGGCGGACTGTGAGCCCCTGGAGAGTTTCCTTCCAGAGACGCTACAACTGCCAGAGTCTGGGTAGGTGTGTGTGTGTTTGTGTGTGTGGGGTATGTGTGTGTGTGGTGTGTGTGTGTGTGTGTGTGTGTGTGTGTGTGTGTGTGTGGTGTGTCTTTGTGTGTGTGTGTCTATGTGTGTGTTTGTGTGTGTGTGGGGTATGTGTGTGTGTGTGTGTGTGGGGGGGGTATGTGTGTGTGTGTGTGTGTGTGTGTGTGTGTGTGTGTGTGTGTGTGTGTGTGTGTGTGTGTGTGTGTCTTTATTATATTGTATCTTTATATAATGAGCACATTTTGACTTGACATGTTTGAGATGTTTTTATTCCATTGTTTATTTGTATTTTATTGGACCTTTTACTTCTTATTTTCATATCTTTATTTGATACTTTCGGTGCACATGTGCAACAAGAATGCATTCTAACTTTTACTTCCTATAATTCCAATTATTAGGGTCTGAGACCAGAGGTCGGTGAAGACCCTATTGTAAACGCTCGCCAAGTGCCAACCCTGCCAAACATACACAAAACAGGGAAAACGACCGGCAAAAGCACCGAAAATGTTTCCGAAATCATGGCGGCAGATAGCGCGTGCGAACCAAAATGCCTCTTGGAAGTGTGAAAAAAACATACAGGAAGTCAGCAATTTTTTATTTGGCGTTTTTCCAATGCCAAATTCAAAATGGCCAACTTCCTGTACGCCCTCCGTACTTCAGAGATCTCCTCCTAGGGATTTTATCCGATCAACTTCTAGTTTGGCGGGTAACGTCTCGAGACATGGGGGAGGAAAAGTCATACAAATCTCAACTTTTCCCCGCACGGCGTAGCCGCGATGTGGCGCCGATATTCACGTTCGCTCGATGCTAGGCGATCCCTCGCCATGGAACACGATGATGTCATAACTCCAACTGACATGCTCAGAACGCCGCCAAACATCACATGATGGTTGGCACTGCCGCCCTGAACAGCTCTACTTCAAATCTGAGGTTTCATAAAGTGCCGTTACCAAGGCAACAATGTCGCTCTAACTCCAATGGACACGATCCTATCGCCATCAAACTTCACATGTATATCATTGGTCCATGCCTTAACAGCTCTACGCTATATCTGAGGTCTCATCAAATGCCATTTCCATGGCAACGCATCCCTCACCGTAAAACACGATATTGCTTTAACTCCTATGAAACTGGTCAAAAAGTGGTCAAACTTCACATGTGTGCTAACAGTCCATCCCTGAAGACATGTACATGTCATTTTTGAAATGTTGTCAAATGCCGTTGCCATGGCAACACAATGCTCGCCACGAAACACGGTTTTCTCATAACTCCAGGGAACATGCTCCAAACGGCCCAGTACTTCGGTCCTCAAGACATCTAAGCTTATTATGGGGTGTCATCATATGCCGTTGCCATGGCGAAGGATCACTCGGCATCAAACAAGATTTTTTTGTTACTGCTGTAACTCCTATAGACATTGTGTGATCGGCCCGGATCTTCCCACGTTTGGGCAAGTCTTCGTGATGCGTCGACGTGCGGACAACAGCGGACCTGCGCGGAGACCCGCTCATCCCTGCTTGCAGCTTTATCTTTTTATCCAACCATGTACCCCAGCTTTTTATCTTTATATAAATTCTCCTTTGCTTTTTTTTCACATTCTTACATTCATCCATGTTAGTGTAAACATGTTATTGTTGTATTTTTTTTATTTCATTCACTAAAGTGTGTGTGTGTGTGTGTGTGTGTGTGTGTGTGTGTGTGTGTGTGTGTGTGTGTGGTGTGTGTGTGTGTGTGTGTGGTGTGTGGTGTGTGTGTGTGTGTGTGTGTGTGTGTGTGTGTGTGTGTGTGTGTGTGTGTGTGTGTGTGTGGTGTGTGTGTGTTGTGTGTTGTGTGGTGTGTGTGTGTGTGTGTGTGTGTGTGTGTGTGTGTGTGCAGAGATGAAGGGGAGGCTCCTGCTGGTGTCTAACTCCACCCTGCACGGCAGCGGGTATCTGGACCACTGTCAGGAAAACATCTCACACTTTTTCGGACGGTACGTTTCCTGCAGCTCTTCCACTTCTCATCACCTGATCACTTTTATTTTCTAATAACATTTATACTACATGTTGACCTTTAAGGCTTTGTATATGATGGAAACATTAAAAGACTAAAAGACTAGAAACAAACAAACATCTCAAAATAGAAAATAAAACAGAACTAAAGAGTAAAATATCTACAAAAGTTGAGCACGAAAGATAAGGCTGTCCGACAAGTACACACTACGAAGAGCCTAATCACAGCTAACACTGTAAAACACATTATGAATATTACTTAAAGTGTCAGCTTGGATGTAAACGTGCCTCTGTACAGTTTTAATGAACGTTTGTGTTTGTGTTTTCCTCAAGAGATGTGAAGAGAGTTCTGTTTGTTCCTTACGCTCTCCACGACAGAGACGCCTACACTAAAACTGCCAGAGACAAGTTCAACAGTCTGGGTAGGTGTGTGTGTGTGTGTGTGTTTTGAATAGTATATGAAGGTATTTTGTGGTGGATTTTCCTTTTTTTTCCTATATTTTAAAAAGTTTTCTCTTTTTATATTGTCCATTTATTTTCTTTGTTTTATCCATGTATTTTTCTGTATTTTTTCTCCCTATGCATTTCCAGTTTTTTATGTCTATGTATGGATTTTCTAAGTATTTTCATTGTGTTATCCTGAGTATTTTTCTGTATTTTCTAGGGCTGTCAAGTTAACGCGTTAATAACGCGTTAACGCAAAAAAAAATTAACGCCACTAATTATTTTAACGCGATTAACACATGTGTATTTTTTGTCCTCGGCCGCCGTAGTTTGAGAGCGCATCGAGTTTAAAATACCATCGACAAGCTGATGCTGACAGCCCCGCTCCTGCCGCCCGCTTGTGCCCGCTTGTGCCCGCTTGTGCCCACTTCCACGCTCACTGGCAGGCCCGGACTGGCCATCGGGAGGGAGTGTGTATGTGTGGCGCGACTCGCGCGAGCGAGGCACACCTTACGTGTTGTTGTTGTTGTTAGCATCTGGTGCTAGCTAGTGGGACATTGTACGAAAAGTCAGCACACTCAGCACGGATAGTACGCGCAACATGATTGCAGCATCCAGGCAGCTCCCGTTGGAGCATATATGCCTTGAGACACACACACACACACACACACACACACACACACACACACACACACACACACACACACACACACACACACACACACACACACACACACACACACACACACACACACACACACACACACACACACACACACAGTATTGTATGATAGAGGTTCTAGGTTGAATTGAGGCGAATATTTGTAATGTTCAGGTTGTTGTGTTTAATATTCATGAGAATATTTGTCATTGTTCAAATGATAATAAACAAACATATAAAGCATATTTGTCCACTCATATGTTGATAAGAGTATTAAAAACTTGAAAAATATCCCTCTAAGGTACATTTAGAACAGATAAAAAATGTGCGATTAATTTGCGATTAATCGCGATTAACTATTTTAATCGACTGACAGCCCTAGTATTTTCAGTTCTTTGGTATTTTCTTTCCTATGTATATTCTTTGTTATATTAAATATTTTCATGTATTTTCATGTATTTTCATGTGTATTTTTCCTTTGTGTCCGTGCATTAGTTTATAATAAATGAAATGATGTTATTTCCCACTGATCCTGTGTTTGGCCCCTGCAGGTTACGAGGTGGACGGGATCCACGAGGCCCCGGACCCCGTCGCCGCTGTGAGGAAGGCTGAGGGGATCTTTATAGGTGAGGAGCAGCTGACGTACCTGTGGACGTACCTGTGGACTTACCTGTAGACGTACCTGTAGACGCACCTGTAGACGCACCTGTAGACGCACCTGTAGACGCACCTGTAGACGCACCTGTAGACGCACCTGTGGACGCACCTGTGGACGTACCTGTGGACGCACCTGTAGACGCACCTGTAGACGCACCTGTAGACGCACCTGTAGACGTACCTGTAGACTTACCTGTGGACTTACCTGTGGATGTACCTGTGGACTTACCTGTAGATGTACCTGTAGACGTACCTGTGGACTTACCTGTGGACGTACCTGTGGACGCACCTGTGGACGCACCTGTAGACGCACCTGTAGACGCACCTGTAGACGCACCTGTAGACGTACCTGTAGACTTACCTGTGGACTTACCTGTGGATGTACCTGTGGACTTACCTGTAGATGTACCTGTAGACGTACCTGTGGACTTACCTGTAGATGTACCTGTGGACGTACCTGTAGATGTACCTGTAGATGTGAATGTCAGTGTGTGTGTTTCAGGAGGAGGAAACACTTTCCGACTTCTGAAGAGTCTCTATGACAACAAGGTGCTGACAGAGATCAGGAAGAGAGTGCTGGAGGTGAGAAACTCACTCACTCACTCACTCACTCACTCACTCACTCACTCACTCACTCACTCACTCACTCACTCACTCACTCACTCACTCACTCACTCACTCACTCACACTTTACGCCCCCCTCCCCAGGATGGTGTCCCCTACATGGGTTCCAGCGCCGGCACCAACGTGGCGACGGTCAGCATCAACACCACCAACGACATGCCCATCGTGTGCCCGCCCTGCTTCTCCGCCCTGAGCCTCGTCCCCTTCAACATCAACCCCCACTTCCTGGACCCCGACCCCCACAGCCGCCACATGGGGGTGCGTCACAAAACTCAATGAGCAAAAACCCTATTTACTTAATTATTTTCAGCTTTTTGTAGTTAATAATCTACTCACCGGTGTAGGGAACCTGGTCATGTTGAGTACCCTGACGTTTTATCAGAATCAGAAACAGGTTTATCTCCAGGTGGGTTGACACGTACGAGGATTTTGACTTGGTGTCGTGGTGCATACATAAAAGTCAAACAGAAATGTAAAACACAGATAGAAAACTATTTTAAGAAAACTATAATAACATATACAAAATATAGTAAAATATAGCAGTATTTACATTGAAATAGAATGAATAAAAATATGTGCAGTTATACAAAAACAAGATATTGTGTGCATTAATTATGATAGAAATGTATAGGGTCTCCAGCACATAGAAACTGCCGGATGCTAACCTGCATATGTTGGGCAATTTGCACAATTAGCATAATGCAGTTATGGCTTGGACAATTTTGTAGTGTTTTTGGACGTTATTGAGGATGTTGAATACATTTCTGACATTTTTAGCATCAAAAATGTCAGTTTTAAGTCCCCTAAAACTTTCAAATGGACCCAAAATTAATCTAAATCAGCCCAGCAGCTCGGTGAAACAGAATCAGAATTAGTCCTGCCCGCTGCAGGACATTTACAGTGGCATAGCAGGTAAAAAAAGCTAAGCTAACTAACTAGCTAAGCTAACTTATTAAATATAGAGAAGAAAAGCACACATTAGTCATAGAATAAAGACAAATAAGTTCACATCCGTGGCTCAACATGAGAAGCAGCAACATAAAAAAAGACACATAAGGTGTTGAGGCGTTATGCAAATCAAGTTCTCATCGCACCGTGGATTGCAACAGAAAGTGTCTGCATTGCAGCAAAGTAAGAATACTCTATAAAACCCTCATTAGTTGACTATTTTCTGCTTTACAGTATTAGTTAAGTTGTCTCCTATGATATAACTCAACTGCATCCTCAAAAGACGTTCTACGGATTACAGTTTTTTTATGTGAATGCTGAGAACTCTTCACACCATATGTTCTTCTCCTGTTAAATCTGTATTGGCTTTTCCCCCCACTCTCCTGATCTCAGTGTTCAAATGTTCAGCTCGATTACGAATCGACGGCTATTACTCCCGACATTCATAACTTTCATAACACAAGTGTCTTTGAGCATTGGGAAAAGTGTTACCCATAATTCACCCACATGTTTGTATTTAGTTCAGCGTTTCAGCATTCACACCGCAATTTCTTCAGGAATCGTATCCTCTAGTTCAGTGGTTCTCAACTGATGGGTCGCCCGTTTCGAGTGGGTCGCAGATGTGTGAGCGAAGAAAAAATAATTGAAAAAAACATCATTTCTTTTTTTGGGAAAAAAGTCAAGCTTTTATTTTGAAGGCCCGATGTTCTAACGCTGTGCATGCAGTAGGCGTTGGACTGGAAGTACCGGAGACCATAAACGGTTTTGAAAACTTCTGTCACGTAGTGATCATCTTCTCAATAAAACATCTTTGCTGATGTTTTTTCTAGTCTTCTGGCCAATCAGAATCAAGATGGTTGCCGGAAGTCCCCACGGAGAATAACTTAGCGGTAGAACTACTCTTTATACATCCATGGGTACAACTTCAGATACAAATGAACACATAATGAAATATGACCCCTGGTTTGATGATTGACAGGTCACAGAACAATGGGGGCTATCTACCCTTACCCACAAAGTAATTCACAGACTCTCTCCTCTTTGCTCTTCTCTCTGTGAGGAGCAGCAAGCTGTCAGAACAAAGTGAAACACAAACAATGGCATCAAATATTATTAATATGTCGGGTAGCAATAGATGTATTTATGTTCTCCTCAGAGTGTACCAGAATGCGTAGTTTATATGTTAGTATTTCTCTTCTGGGGTTTGGTTTTCAGCATGTGGGCCTTTTTGTGTTATACAGTTCAGCTTTGATTCCATCATCTCATTAAACCTTATTTAAAAGCGTACTTTAGTTCTGTGAAGGGATATAAGGGATATATGCCCTGTACTTCACTTTCATTCATATTGTATGCTGCAAAGCGTACGATATTACTGCACGATTTTTTGTTGAATAGATTTGAGTGGTTCAAATGTCGGGTCGCGATCTATTGACAAAGGAAAAAGTGGGTCCCGAGGCCGGACCAGTTGAGAACCACTGCTCGAGTTCCTGTCGCCTCCTTCCTGTGGTTCCTCTCTGCAACGTGAGATATACTTTATGACTTTACAGCAAGTGACTTAGAGTTTAAATCATAAACGACTGATAAAAGCTAGCAACTGATAAACCCTCAGCCAATCAGAGCCAGCTAGATTATCACAAAGAGTTCAGTGTTGAGACGCTCAGCGATTTACTGCAGGCTTCTCTATAAACCTCTGGATTAAAGTCCTTCTTCACATCACTGAGCCTCTGCAGCAGCTCAGGGAGCGACACTAAGTCAAAATACACCAATACAAGTACAAGTTAAAACCCTAATTAGTTCATTATTTTTAGAAGAATGAGTACTTATATATATATATATACTTAGAGTACGTACTTTAAGTATATTTGGACTTTTGTACTTTTACTTGAGTAACATTTTGAATGCAGGACTTTTACTGTAACAGAGTATTCCTACACTCTGGTACTTCTACTTTTACTCAAGTACAAGATCTGAGTACTTTTACTTTTACTGAAGTACAAGATCTGAGTACTTCTACTTTTACTCAAGTACAAGATCTGAGTACTTCTACTTTTACTCAAGTACAAGATCTGAGTACTTTTACTTTTACTGAAGTACAAGATCTGAGTACTTCTACTTTTACTCAAGTACAAGATCTGAGTACTTCTACTTTTACTCAAGTACAAGATCTGAATACTTCTACTTTTACTCAAGACAAGATCTGAGTACTTTTACTTTGACTCAAGTACAAGATCTGAGTACTTCTACTTTTACTCAAGTACAAGATCTGAGTACTTCTACTTTTACTCAAGTACAAGATCTGAATACTTCTACTTTTACTCAAGACAAGATCTGAGTACTTTTACTTTGACTCAAGTACAAGATCTGAGTACTTCTACTTTTACTCAAGTACAAGATCTGAATACTTCTACTTTTACTCAAGACAAGATCTGAGTACTTTTACTTTTACTGAAGTACAAGATCTGAGTACTTCTACTTTTACTCAAGTACAAGATCTGAATACTTCTACTTTTACTCAAGACAAGATCTGAGTACTTTTACTGAAGTACAAGATCTGAGTACTTCTCCCTCCTCTGGTAATACTTGTGTACTTTAACTACTTGTAGTGTTGCTCCCTGAGCTGCTGCAGAGGCTCAGTGATGTGAAGAAGGACTTTCCAGAGGTTTATAGAGAAGCCTGCAGTAAATCGCTGAGCGTCTCAACACTGAACTCTCTATGATAACCTAGCTGGCTCTGATTGGCTGAGGGTTTATCAGTTGCTTCCTTTTATCAGTTGTTTATGATTTTAACTCTAAGTCACTTGCTGTAAAGTCATAAAGTATATCTCACGTTGCAGAGAGGAACCACAGGAAGGAGGCGACAGGAACTACTGCTACGGTTATCAAAAATCAATGCAGCGTCAGCAAATGGAAATAGTTACAGTTCAGGCTGAATGTACTGTCAGCCCTTAGAGAAACACTACATGCTGATTCGACATTAAAACAGATTCCAATTTGGGAAATGATTTGGTTACAGCAGCATGTTTAAAATGTAATAAAGTAGTATATTAATGAAGAAACATTTCAACATTTGTGGAGAAAAGTCAAAATGCTCCATCAGCAATAGAGAGGTAGAGATATGTACAGCCATTAGCATGACTGTTGTCTCATTATACTATCTTGGTTATTACTCAAACAGGATGAATGTTTTCTGAGTGTTAAAGTTATTTGTAAAAAGGGCTTCAGAAATCAGCTATGTTTACTCTCATGAGCCCGAGGTGACGTTTTAAATAGTATTTTCTGTGTGACCAGCAGACGACAGATAACCAGTTTACTGTGATTCAAAAAGGATTCAAAACACAAAATGTCTCTTAAAAATCATTAAAAAGGTGCTTCTTATAACGGGAAGCTTGCCTGAGTGTCAAACAAACGTTTATAGGCGCTTTCACACCGCAGTACTTTTCCCACAAAGGTTCATGAGAACTCTTTAGTTCTCATGAACTAAGTTCAGATCGCGTTCACACCGGAATAAGTCCCTGAGGGAGGGTTAGGCAAATGAGCCGCTGACGTCACTTCTTCTTCTTCTACTTTGGGTTTACTGGCAGGCCGCAAACAACTTCACGGCGTATACTGCCGCCCGGAGTCCCCGGCCGGAAGTCCCCGGAGTTGGGGCCTGGCTTCAGTAGAAGCTGCTGGGACTCCCAGCAGCTTCTACTGAAGCCTTCCGAGTAAATCGCCAGAACGCCGACACCTCCTCATCTCCACCGCTCCCATGTTTTCTTTTGTGTTGCCATAAGTTAGTCTCTCTGCGTTTGTGCGCTGGGCTAATGCTAATAATGCTAATGCGAGGATAATAAAATGGCGGCTTCACAAAACCTTTTGGGAGTTTTACGGGGCGTGGTTTGCAATCCGCCCAGCCAATCAGAAATAGGAACCTTTTTCTTCTCCCACGAAAGTACCTGCTCTCTAGCAGGGACTGAAAAGGGGGTAAAAAAGGTTCTAATGAACTAAGTTCTAGTTCCGGCTCTTTTTGGTGTGAACGCAACATTTCGGAACTATATCGGAACTAAAGTGGGAAAAGTACTGCGGTGTGAACGCGGCTATTGATACTTACACGTTTAGTTCAGCAGGATAATCTCCATATATTAACACCACTTAAACTCTAATGCTAACTTTATACTGGCTGTTTGAATCCCTCAAAGCATTATGGGAAGTGTTGTTTGTGTTGCTTTTGTGCAGGAGAGCAGAGAGCAGAGGATCACCCAGTACCACGAGGAACCAGATACTCCAAGTGTCCTGGTGAGAATGTATTCCTCATTTCACCTGTAAATAAAAACTCAAATCTTCTTCCATGATTACAGGTTTTTATAAATACATTTCTACTGGCCTCACTGCCTTTTTAAATAACTGTTTTGCTACCATCAATTCAAGTCAGCACTTCCTCCAAAAGTGTTTGACATTAAAAAATACTCCAGCAGATCCATGTTACATCATTTCCTCGCCTTTATAGGTGTGCTTTTATTGTGAAAGATTAGCAAGAAGTGTCAGTGATTTCAATGTTCATACGGAAGAGGATTAGGGCCACATGTGGACATTTTAAACATCTGACCAAAGGTTTTTTTAGTTCTGAGGTTAATCTCAGGAATCAGAGAAAAAAGTCAAAAATCTGAGAGGGATTCAGAGGGAAAAAGTCAGAATTATAAGAAAAATATAAAAAATTCTGACATATTTAATATTCTCAAGAAAAAAGTCTGAATTCTAAGAAAAAACTTCAAATTCTGAGAAAAATTCACAATGTTATATGTGTCCCTAATCCTCTTCCGTAGATTTGAAATAAAATTCCAATTATTGAAAAAATGAGGATTCTGATGGTAAATCTGTGTAAACTATCAAATGCAAAAGGTTAATATGAAGTTAATACAAAATTGGTGTAAGGACAGAACTAGAGCTTTTGGAAATGTACCATATCAGCCATTAGTGCACAATATATCTAATGTTATTTACTGTCAGTCGGCCGCACACACTGTTCGCCGGCCAAGAAGGTGAAATATATTATTTGTATGACTTTTTATTTGAGGATTTACAGAGATGTTTTGCCTCGCCAGGGTCTGAGGGAGGGGTCTCTGCTGCTGGTGGAAGGAAACAAAGCCACGCTGCTGGGAACCACCAGGGCTCGACTCTTCACCAGGTAACACAAATGGAAAAACCAAAATGTGAAGAATAAAATCTAATTCTGAGAAGAAATTCAACATTTTGAGAAAAGATTTCGGGAAAAAAATAAAACTGTAAATTCAAAAGCAGGACTTTAAGGAGTATTTTCACATTGTTCTGAATATTTTTACTGCAGTTTCTGTGTATTTCCATCAGCTGAAAGTACATCAGTAATAATTATCATGATGCGTTTGTGTTTTAGGGGAAAGCCTACGGTGGATTACGACCCAGGAAGTGACCTCAGCTTCCTGCTGACACATTGACCAATCAGAGGGAAGCAGGATGTGAAGCCCCACCCTTACATTACTCAGATTGGCATTTTGGTCAAAACTAAATAAATATCTTAAATCCATTGTGTCACTGTGCAGAAGTTTTCTGATTTAAGTTAAATATAATTTGACTTGTAGATTAATTGAATATATATTCTTTGTGCTACTTTATGTGAAGCTAGTTTAAGCAGCGGATTAGCTTAGCTTAGCATAAAGACTGGAAACAGGCTCTGTCACAAAGTTGAGAAAATGCTTCCAACAGATACGAGTGGTGATGTTCCCCTCATGCAAAAGTATTTCTTTAACAAAACCTGAAGTAAATTAAAAAGAAAACTTATATTTTGTAATAAATCTTTGTGATACAAGAGGAGAAAAAAGTTCTGACAAAAGTCTGAATGCTAAGAAAGGGAAAATTCTGAATTCTGACAAAAGAAATCTGAAAATAAAGTCAACAATTTGAGAAAAAGTCAGAATTGTAAGAAAAAAGTCAAAATTCTGAGAACAAATGAAAACTTCTGAGAAACAGTCTGAATTCTGAGAAAAGTCAAGAAAGGGAAAAAGTCCAGATTCTGAGAAAAAATAGTCAACAATTTGAAAAAAAAGCAGCAAAGATTCTGAGATAAGTCAGAAAATTGAAAAAGGTCAAAATTCTGACAAAAGTCAACAATTTGAGAAAAGTCAGAATGCTAAGAAAGAAGTCATAATTCTGAAAAAAGTCCACATTCGGAGGGAAAAGTAAAAAAGGGGAAAAGTCCAGATTCTGAGAAAACAGGAATCCTTTTATCTGAAAATCATTATTCCTCTGATAAACAACATAGACAAAGGAGAAAAATAAATGTGAACAAATCAGTTTATTTCAGTTTACAGGTGAAATCATCATCTTATGAAAAAGTTATTTTTTAGGTGAAAGAATACATACATCAAAAATACTCCTTATATTCTCCGGGCAGAAAGAAAGAATTAAATACAAAACAAAGGTAAAACAAACCAAGATTTTTTATTGTTAACTGATTTTCCATCTTATTTAGACTTTGAACTCTTTTCTATAAGGGCCTTTTTTTTTTAATGACACAGGTTATGAATAATTTCTAACAGGATATGAAAATGACACGGCATAGAACCACATTTCTTTCCCGTATCAAGATAGATTTTCCAACGAGATGTCAAACGTTATTAATCGTTATTAAAGGCAGCTTATACCACCTGCACTACCTTTAACAGTGACGGTGCGTCCACACGGCAGCGTCGCGTTGAAGCTTGCCGGTGGGCGTGTCTGGCGTGCGACCAACAACCAATCACATTAATGTCCCGCCCCGGACACACAAGCATGCGGTTGGATTGGGTAGAGCTTGTACTGGCATATCATTTGATTGGCTGGCGCTTCCGTCGACGCTTGAAAAGTTGAACTTTTCTCAACTTTCGAAGCGAGCAACGGAGGCAAAAAGCGAAGCGACGGAACCACAATGCAGTTCGGCAAAGCGTGACGCCACCCCAAGTGAATGGGAAGCGTCTCCGTTGAAGCACGTGATGCTGCCGTGTGGACGTACCGTTAAGGCCCTTGAAATATAAATTGCATATTAATCGAAGTTATTAATACCTCTGTTTTTAAATCCACCAGTGGGGTAACACATTCAGAAAACCATTGACATCATGTCAGTCAGTGTTTCATCTAATTTACGCTGCTCTCCTGGAATATTTAATTTGAAATATAACCAGGCGAGTGTTTCACATGTTGTTTAATCGTCTCTCCTCGGTGTGTACGGGCCTTTAGCCACGCGTCTATTCTCACTCCTGAAAACACGCTAGGTGACGACAGACATTTTACTAAATTACATTTTTTGAGAATATTTTGAAGCGACTGAGTTGAAGCGACTTCAGTCCTGTTGAACCTTGATGGACATGATGGAAATAAAAGTCTTGAAAAGTTTGCGTTTCAAATAAATCTCTGTTCGATTGACCTCCATCTCGATGCAAACACTTAGAGGAATTGATACATATGTGTAAGCAAGTAGACATTAGTGCATGTTAAACATCTGCGGGGGAAATTAAGTTTCAGGACGAAATTTATTGGAACAAAAAACACGAAAGCAGTGAATAACAATTAACAACTAAAAAACACACACTGCGATTTAAGTGTTCCTGTGGAGTGATTTCACTGTGATTGTTAATTCATGAAGCTAACCCAATATGGGTAAATTCATAGCCAATTGTTTTGTTTTTCATACATTCGCACACAGACATAATAAAATGGCAACCTGCTTTTTCGCATTTTCACTATCAGAAAAAGCTGCCAGATACAACTCTTAAATCTGAGGACAAATAACACTATTACAAAAACAGCAACAGGTAACAGGTGTAAAGAACAAAGGAGCCTCAGTGCAGGAAAGTTACAGCTGACTGACAGGTGTGTTAAGCCCCACCCCCTTAGTTGATGTTGCTGCGCTAGTAAACGTTCTTGTTCACCTGCACTATCTTTAATGTCCAGCAGGGGAGGACTTTTCTGATTGAATTGAAGTCTATGAGAACATTTTCTTTATTTACCTAATTTTCCTGACGAGTTCAGGGTCTCAATAGCTAGATTTAAGTCTGGTTCAACACAGCATGATTTTCATTATGGTCCCATTTAGAGTCAAATACGATAAGCTGGGTATGCTACTTGTCCGTCAGGTTAGAGACGTAGCCTCTTGTCTAAATGTGTAGCCTTTAACAGGTTTTTAAATATACTTGTCATGGCTACATGCTAAGCTAAACAAAAGCTCCTGTTAATGCAGACTCTAGCTAGCTAATGTTACCTGGAGTCTGCTAGAGCAGGACAAAGCCGCTAATATTAACATAAAAGTTGATAGCATCCCAACTTCAATGAATGAATGAGCCAAAGCTAATGCCGTTAGCTCATGACATGCTAACTCTTTTCATTGAAAGTAAGGCTTGGTTTCTAAAGACAGCTAGCTGGACATGCTAACGATTGAGCAGTTTAGTAATGAGCTGTTTACCCGTAACCTGGAAAACTAAGAATATATGGAAGTTGAAAAATGCTCCACTTTAAGGAATGTGACTCTGACGGACCTGTCGTGCCTGGCTGTGATTGGACGTCACCATTCAGGGGGGCGGGTCTTATCCAACAGTCAATTTTACAATTTACAAACTCATCACTTGCATTGATTTTCCACCCAAACATAAAAAATACAAAATAAAACATATTGAAATGAGCTGGACTCAATTTAGTAATCATCAGCAAGTTTTTTTTAGAAAAAATACATAAAATAAAATACTGAAAAGACACAAAACCAGCATCCCCAAAGCAGTATTGACACCAATCACACCCCCCCCCCCAAAAAAAAAACACACAAAGTAAAGTAATATATCAGGGGAAATATATTAATGTAACACTCCTTATCCATATCACACCATAGCAAACTGAACCATCTTTATCCAAAAATAGAGCGCTAATCCGGCGCTATCCATTTTATTTATTGCTAACGCATCATCATATTGCTGTCTCAAAATATATTTTAAACTTCACTAATGTTCTCATTATCTTATGAGAATAAAGGCCATGACCACAGTCCTCGGGTTGGTCAACACTCATTTGTATTTTTAATAACATTATCCTCATTTTAAATAACGTTGTTTCCATAAACGTACAAAAATATTGCATTGGAACAGCGACGATTTATTGGTGATTATTGACTTATAAACAAAACGTATCCTCTTAATTCATTCTAGAGCTTTTATTTTAGAGCTTTTATTAAATCACTGTTTTTTTATTGCTTTCAATATTTTCCATGGAAGAGTTTAGCTCTTTAAGGAAGCTAACAGAGATAGCTTCACGGCTAACGTCCTTTAGAAACTAGCTTCACTACAGGCTCCAATCATTTCACAAAACAGTGTTGTTGATCGGGGTTAAAAAACAAATGGCCTATCAGCAGTTCTGGACTTTCTGGGCAACGAGCGCCAACAGTTTCATCTT